TAGAATTAATAACTAAATTAATGCATGTATATCATTACATCAAATAACACCTGAACAAATCTTGAAAAACAAACAAAAAAATGTAACAAAAACAGTAGGGATGTAAGAAAATATCGATATGGCAATATATTGTGATTTTTCCCCCAACAATATTATATCGATATTCAAAAGCCGTGTATCGGAAATATCGATATGGCAATATATTGTGATATTTTTTCCTGCGAGTATTACATCAATATTTAAAAGCCGTGTATCTAATTCTTGAAATAATTTACATGCAAACTTTTGTGTATTTTCTTTTCGTTTTGTGCAATTCAATCGCCACCCGCTAGTTGGCAGCAGTGTGCAACGGGTTTTGTTTCCACCATTGAACTGTAAATCCCTCCATCATGGCTCAGATACCTCATGTTAAACATGTTACATATCAGTTTGGACTGTTTATTGAACATTCTTACAATAAATTCAGTAAAAAAATTGCTTGTAACGTCTGACTGAATGTATCACAATATATCGCGATATATTGTATAGTCTCCCCTGTATCGTGATATGTATCGTATCGCCAGAATTTCAAAAATACACATCCCTGACAAACAGTATTTCTTGTTGAAACGGTTTGCTATCTTTACACTAAATACATGAGAACAAGTAATTTAATGGCTTCAAACAGGTCGTGAGAGGATGTAGTCATTTAGGTCCTCATTTGTAAAAAATGCCTACCAGCTTGTTGATAGAAATGTTGAACTGCACTCAGAACTGGATGTATCTGTCAACAAATCTGTCGGTCGTCATTTCTTTCTCAACGTTCCTTTTTTGGAGGTTTTACACGCTCGTCCTTCGGTAGATGCTGAGCACAGCAATGCTTTGTTATGCTGATGTCTGCTGATGATGTCAGCTCAACTCCGTCTCCCTTCTCTGACAGAACAGGATGGAAACAGTACCAAGACACTGTTCAGGGGAAAATATTTCTCATCAATCACACACAGATACAAGATAATGTTCTTTAAATCAGATTAGAAGGTTTTGTTTTTAATGTCTCTGGTTAAGCTTGTGTTCAGGGTAGCTCTGGGTGACTCCACAGTCTGTTGTTACTCCGATCACTGAACTCACAGTATTGAAATTGCATCTCGAATCAGAGAAAATCATGTCTAAAGTCCTCCACGGCCAATCAAGCACAACAAAAATACTTCCCAGTGTTTGTTTGACTAAATAAAGTGTTAAATAAGGCTAATCAGGATTTATTTAAATACAGCAAATCTAAAAAACGCATTATTTTACTCCACATTCCAAAATTATCTGGATTTCCGGCACAAGATAAGCCTGTTTATTTCAGATGCTCGTTCCGCTTTGACATGTTGACACCGATTTATCTCAAATAACTAGAATAGGTCAAATGATTCATTCTGAATAATTTTAAAAGGATGATTCTGGAAGTACAAAACTAGAGATAGCAAGCCCACAGACCTGGAAAAATGTCAGATTTCTTTAGATCTGTTAGGCAAGTGTTCATTCACAGATTCAAACATCTCAAATGACTGATTTATACCCAGCTTGATTACACATTAGATCCAGTCATGGTGAAAATGTGAGGTTTTGGATCATCAACGGATCTATTCTCCACTAACCAAACCTGAAGACCACTGCTACTGATGGTCTGACATGATCTGCTGGACAGATCCAGGGTCTGCTGACAGAGACTAATGCCATCAGATTAGTTGTGGCCCACTGGGAAGCTTTGTAAAGTCTAAGAAGATGCACAAATCACAAAAGTATGGGTTGTTATTTCACAAAAGTAACGGTGAGTACACGTTTACTGTTTGATATTTTCTGCAGCTTGGCCTGCAGAAAGCAACTGGCAGCAGCTGACGGGCAGGATCGGTGTCTGAAGTCAGAGCTCAGGGCAGCTGCTGAACAAATGGGCACTTGCTCATGAATGACAGCTATTCACCTCCCTCTTGTGCATCACATGAACGTTACCTCCTACTCTGCACAGCACAGCACACAATATCACAGTGTCTTCGGATACAGCAGAGCCTGGTGGGGAGGGAGCGAGGGAGGCTAACCTGGTTGTTTGACCTTGAGCACATGAATCGTTCACTGCAGAATGAGATGCAAGAGCGAGAGAGAATGACCCGACATGAAAAAAACGTGTGAAATCAACTATGGGTCGTTAAGTTTGATGAAATAAAAAAATCAGTAAATAGGGAAGCATCAGCTTTGGGGAAACTTTTCTTCCACTTCTGCTCTTTCTGCAATACAGACAGATGATGCAGGAGGTCGTGCTAATTAAATGAGCTGTAACCATAACTTAACAACATTTGTTTCGGTCTCCACCTTAAAAACGAACACTAAAAAACCTTGCATTCCCTGATGCCAGTGAGACACGGTGATAGGAAAAACGGATCCAATTACAGGGCAAAGATAAGCCTACGATGGCTGGTGGAGGAGGAACCAGAGATTTGATGGCGGTGGTCTGGTGGAGGGTGCACAGCAGAGGAGAAAACAACAACATGCTGCAGGAATCACCAGTGCATGCAGCTTTAGAAATGACTGAACTAAAGGGTTTCCATACTAAGAGATCCATCCACACAGCACACAGACAAGAGCAATTTCATGGTCCTCAGCTAGATTCTGCACATGATGCTGCAGCATCTGTGAGCCAAATTACAGCTGCAGGTCTCATGCTCTATAACAACAAAGCATGCTGGGAATTGCATATTAGGTGAGAAAAGTCCACGTCCTCCACAGTACCACCAATGCAACAACTGCATTCTCATCTATTGATCATAAAACGCAAAAATATTCCCACGTTCACTGTCAGCAGAAAACATGGATGCCAGTTTTTAAAGACACAGCACCTGTTTTTGAGAGTCAAGTGTACACAGAGCTGCACGCACAGCACAAAAATATCAGCAGCCACATTGCATCAAGTGCAGTCAGTCCTAGAGAGCACACAGCCCAGTAGCAAAACAAACAACAGTGCTACACAGACACTCGGCTTGTTGCCTCTAAAGTCCTGAGATGTGCAGTCTTACTCACAAGGGATTCCCGAATCTACGCTGGGATCACTGGAAAGGGAAGAAATCCTCTTCTCTCCTCCGTCAAAGGATTTCTGTCCCAGAAACCCCCCTGTGCCTTTCACCAGCACGCTGAAGCAGCTGAAGACACAGAGACAGACAGATCTGCAGTGCTGAAACTGTCAGTGTGCTGTAATGCCAGCCAGGACCTGCCTCCTTCAGTTTTTTTCCTCCCTTCCCTTCCCCTTCCACCCTCCCTCTTTGCTTCCTCACAAGGTCAGTGGGCAGAACAGCAGATCTGACTCCTCCCTCCTTGTACAATACCCTCTTACAGGCTGGACACCCCAGTGATAATTACCACCATGATCCAGATTAACTCCTGGGCGTGCTCTTGTTGTGCTGCGATGGGCAACATGCAGACAGGATTACCTCTTGGGAAGATGGGTGGATGAAGGGCAAAGTTAAGACCCCATAAAAAGAGTAAGAAGCAGCGAGACAGAAACATGCGGGGAACTGGAGACAAAAACCAACCAGTGGCGTGTCCGGATCTTTTAAAACGGGGTGGCCCAGGTGAGGCACAACTTTGTGCATGGGAGGCACCAATGGTTATGCTTTTTTTGTTTTACCCCCAAGCCTTTTGTGGACAATGAAAAGCCTATTTAAAGGTAATTTAGTGTGGTGGCACCTGGGGTGGCCAATCAGATTCCAAGGGTGGCATGTGCTACCCCCAGGCCACTCCCTGGACACGCCCCTGAAACCAACTTGGAGACATAAAGCACACAGATCTGCAACATACAGGCACACTAAATCTGAGAAAAATCTCTGGAATGCAAAGAATAATAAATCAGTTGGATTGGAAAGCCTGAATTTGCCTAAGAGGAAACTAAAGTCAGAACTCAAACAGATGAGTTGTAATTTTTAGGTCTTGACAGTTTTTTTTATATGAAACTGACTTTTTATAGAAAACAGAAAAAGGGAAATTCTTCAAGTTGTATTTAGTTTAATAAATACCACCCCAGGTTAATTCTACATGTAAACAATGCAATTGTATGAATTAGAAATATCGAATATTAATGAGTGCTCTGCAGAGCCGGATAAGCTGCCTCAGCTTCCAGTGATTAGTTCAAACTCAGCAGATGAGCAGGAAGTGCTTAAAGAAACTATATATTTATGTCTTACCTGAAAATCTCGTGTTGCATCAAAACAAAACTATTTCTTCTTCTTCTTTTGCTGTAAACGATTCAGTCTTTAAGACAGGAACGTCCTTGGGTTCATTTCTGGGGGATTTTGTGTTCCCTTCTTTGCATTTAGTGGTAGAATGTTTTCTTGTTTTTTATAGACTGTTTCTACATTCTGACTTTTACTCATTTTACCTAATTTTCAGCACAAAAAAATAATATATATATATATATATATATATATACACTTTTTGCATTTCTATAACAAGAAATAATATTTGGTTTCTTTTCATTGCGTCGAACAATTTAAAGGTCCTCTGCCTTGGGCTGACAGTTGCTAACAGAAACTCAAGCTTAAGCTACATTTCTTGCATTGTCCTGACACCCTGTGGTTGCAGGTGGTAACTACAACACATACATTGAATAACAACTGCAGCATTTCAGTAGCGGTTATCATCTTTATATGTTTACCAGTTTTCTGGTTGAATTACCTGTGTAGCATGTCCTCTCGCACTGCAAAACCCTGTTAATACTGCACAACCCCGGTCAGGTGTGCTGACGCAAATCAGCAGAATGAAAACACACCTGGTTTAAATAAAGGGTGATTAAAGGCTTTTGCACTGATAGCTCAGTTATTCAATCAGGTGTGTTGAATCAGAAAAACATCAAAAACATGTGGGTTATTAATCCTGTAGTCCTAAAATTGGACATAATTAATTCAAAAAGTCTAATCATTTAATGTGATGTGGGTGTGTTTGACATCCAAGTTAACCCATCTTTACATGTAATATGGAGACACCATGAGTGATAAGTTTCTTCTTTTGTATTTCAAGATGTTTTGAAACAGCATGCACAGAAACAAACCAGTGAAAAAGCAAAAATCAAACATGGAACAAGAGACAGATGACAAGTTGGGCCAGCCAGCTGATCATTTACAGTGTAGAAAAGAAAATGTGTAGTTATAGTACAGAGCCAGCAGATGGGGACGCTGAGCCCGAGGTTGGTAACGTGAACATGGACAGACAACAGCTTGAGTCACTGTGACATCATTGCATTTCATTCATTATTTACAGCGATGCTTTCAAGTGTCCACAGACAAACTGGTTTAACATTTGGTCTGTTTTCTAGTAGAGTTCAAGTGTTTTAGCTGCATGTTGCGTTGCGATTTACTGATTCGGGCCAGTTCAAAAGGCACATCACAGAGATCACGGCCAAACATTTATAATCCATACCGGGACAGCAGCACGCTCTCCAGAAACATACGTAACGCTTGCTTTTAAAATCCATATTTTATCATTTTATTTCACTTAAATAAATTAATACTTCAGGTCCAAACGCGTCACGTAACTTCACATCAGAGAAATGCCACGTACCCCCCAAAAACAGAACAAACAAAAAAAGAAATTAGCAGCAGTTTGAAAAGCACAAAAAGGACATGTGATGCGTTCAGATGGTGGAGAACGTTCCCTTTTTAAAAAGGCAGAACACGTTTTGAAGTACTGCTCGTAAAAGACGTGGCAACAGAAACAGAAGTTCATCACTTTCCCCAATTAACGCTTTACTGCATGACACCTAAGAGTCCTTTTACTGTAATCTTTCTGAAAGACATCAGCTGTAGCAAGTAGTCTATAGCGTGGATCCAGTTCCAACTCAGAACACACGCAGCACACGCTGTCACCTTATAATCATGCTTAAAGGCCATTTCTGTCCCGTGTGGGAACTTGCCAATCAGCTACAAAACATACATTAAAGATCAAGTCACCCACACATCAACTTTTTTTTTCTGATAAACTAAATATACATTTTTACTGATGTGTGTGTGTGTGTGTGTGTGTTTGCATATGTCTGTTAATGTTTTAAACTGTTATGGGAATTTCGGGTCGTTTTGTAAAGCACTTTGCTTGAAAAGCGCTTTATAAATAAAATCTGATTGATATAAATGCGTGTCTATTCATGCTGCAGACATGCATGTGTGTGCAGTGAATAGTTTAGCACTTTAGTGCTTTTTAGTAAAAAATTTTTAATTTTCTGCCTAATCTGTTAGTGTTGTAAAAGTGTAGGTAAAAACTCTGCACTGCATTTGAATTTAAATCTGCCATCGCTATTGGCTAAGAGGTACCCTAGGATGTTAGCTAGTACCATATGATGTCACAATGTCGTTGTGAGCCTGTTAGTGTGTATTTGTTAGCAGCTCCGCCCTTTCGGTCTGCTAGGCAACTGCATTTGGTGCATTTTTCAAACAGGAAGTGGGAGTGGAGTAATACTCTGGTAGGGGGTGACTTGCTCTTTAATGACACAGCTAACTGAACCATTTTGCTGATTGGGAACTGCAACGGTACTTTAGGCTCAATCAGTAGACACGTTTCTGCAGGAGTGGACTGGGATTATAATTTAGCCCTGGAATATGGAATATCTCCATCTATCCGGCCATGTGCATTAGCGGGAATTGGGGAGTGCCGACAACGGCCCTGAGCACACAGGCTGTTCTGGGACTCTCCAGAACTCACAGGTTGTTAGTCTGCCTGTGTGTTTCGGTGAACTACGTCACCGTGTCAACGGCAGAAAACAGAAGGAGGAAGTTGAGGAGGAATTATAGAAATCCATCCACGGTGATTTGAGGGATGAACTAATAAAAACTCCTTAAAACATGACACGAGGGTGCTTCTGTTCATGAAGGCAATTTAGGAATACAGACATGACACAGAATACCGAGTCTGCAGTAATACAGTGGAAATCTAAAACGTTCAACATCTACAGTGGCAAAACCGTGGATTTGTCCCACCCTCCAGGGGATAGTCCACATATCCTAACACATCCCCCTAGTAGAAGTCTCACAAACGTCCCACGTCTTCAGTTCAGTAAAGCAGGACAAATTCTCTGCTGTACAGCATCTGGAGCTTCCATGGGAAGCATTGTCAAGTTCAGGGAACAGATCGGACGCGACTTTTACATATTCAGCTGTGGTAGCTGGAAACCGCCGCCTGTTTCTGGGACAGACGCAGCAGCTCCTCTCTGATGGCCTTGATCAGAGATGCGGAGGATTGCGTGGGAGGAGGCGTGCCGAGGGGCTGTGGAGCTGTCAGATAGGCCACGCCTGCTGCGTCTAAGTGGGAAGGAGGGGCTGTGGGCTCCCTGGTTCCACTCCTGTGCATCTAGAACACAAGATAGTGGGGGTCAAGAGGTCAGGGCGGTCTTTGTCGATTGAATTAAAAAGACATGGTTTTCAAGAGTAAAAATCTAAATATTTTTCTATCTTACAGCATCTTTTTCTGCCTCTATCCTGGAGAAATTGTTATCATGGTAGTGATTCCAGCCCAAGCCTCCATTCTGGCCCGGAGCCGTCCTGATTCCTGCTGGGTAACCGTTCATCCGGCTGGACAAGCCTACTTGTGTGAGATGATGGAGCTGGGCACCTAGAAACACACAAACACACACAGCAGACTTTACTTTACTCGACACCCAATCCTCAGCAGCTCCTCAAATATACTTTGATCTAATCAACAAAGTCTAAGAGGCACTTTGTCTGCAGCACTCAGTATGCTAAAGGCCAAAATACATTTCTATTATTCTAAGTCACATGATGGTGTTAGAACATCATCAGCTGCTTGAATCATTTAGGGAAAAAATAAATTGCACGAGGTTATTGGCTGCCTTTATTTGTCTGAAATGTTTCAAAGTTATTGGTGTCATACTTGCAGTCATTCAGTCAAAAGTTAATTAGCATATTTGTTTCAAAATTGTTACAAAATCATTACAAAATTATAAAATAAAATGTAAAAAAGGGGTTTGCTTCATTTAATTTGATCCGGGCTTGTTGCAAAAATAAAAATTACAGAAGTACTCAACAACACCCCCTAGTGGTAAAATATAAAATAAACATGAGACACTTCAAGGCATACTTTGCTAAATTTGTTATATTTTTATATCATTTTCTTAAGCCAGCATGTGCTAAAATGACCCTTTACAGCAGGGGTATTCAATTCTGGGCGTGGATGGCCAGTATCGAGGGTGTTTTAGTGGTTTCTCTGCTCCAGCACACTTGATTCAGTGGTAGAATCACCTGTACAGCAGCTCATCCAGCTCTACAGAAGCCTTTTAATTACCTGTTGATTGAAATCAGGCATTGAAACAGAGTTAAAACTAAAACGTGCTGGGTACCAGCCCTCCAAGACTGGAACTGAATACCCCTGCTTTACAGGTTTAATGAAATGTCATTCAGACCCACTGCCAACTGTGGCTAGAATATTGCACTTGCAACTTCAGAGTTGAGGGCTGCCTCCTGCTGGACTTAGTAAAAGTGGAGCTGACATGCCTGGGGCTGGAGTTTGCTTCCAGAACGTTTCCTGAATGTTTTAGATCGTGAGCACAGCTGATTTGTTTGATTTAGTGATGAACCACTCCTCTAGAAACCAATGAAAGCTGAGGAGACATTTCAGCTGTTAGATTAATGTCTTACAAAGACAAACCTACAGTAAGGAGATATATTTCACTTTTGGTTTGACTAAACGGACACTAGGGGGTGCTAAAAGCAAGCCAAAACTGCAACTTCTCCCTTTCAGTTCTCAGCTTGGTGAGGGAAAATTATTCTTGATACCAGACCAAACCCCCCCAAAAAACCTAACACAAGACAATGAACAACCGTATACAGTGATCCCTCGTTTATCGCGGTAGATGTGTTCCAGACCAGGCCGCGATAGGTGAAAATCCACGAAGTAGGGACACCATATTTACAGTACAGCACATTCTCTTTTTGTGGGTAACACTCAAGAAAAAAAAATTTACTCGTTTTTTTATAGTTTTATTACAAAAAGTGCATTTTATGATGAAATTGATGAAAAAAAACCTGGAATTTCTTGATATTTCGTAATAGAAAAATACCGCGAATCGGTGAAAAATACCGCAAATCTTGTGAATTTCCCTTGAATAGGGCACCAAAGAAAAAATCCGCGAAGTCGTGAATCCGTGAGCAAACGAACCGCGAAGTAGGGAGGGATCACTGTACTTTAAATGACATAACAGTTTGCCTTACTCTGTGGCAAAACTGATCAGGAAACATTTTTATGTTTCACAGCAGATCAAAACAACCTAGCAGATTTTAAGTTTCTTTGATTTATTCTGAAGAGCATTTTTAGCTAAAGAGAAGTACACAGAAGCTAGGTGGGTGAGGTGTATTGCCCACAATTGCAGAATGTCTAGTAATCCTGCTTCTAGATATAAGCAGTGGCGCTCCAAAAGGGTGGCCAGGGATATCCACGAGCCCCCCTGGCCACCCTTTTGGAGCGCCACTGCTTATATCTAGAAGCAGGATTACTAGACATTCTGCCATTGTGGGCAAAACACCTCACCCACCTAGCTTCTGTGTACTTCTCTATATGAGCTTAGATTAGCTGTGGTAAAAAAATAAGGCTGTCTATAAACACTGTCATTTATTTATGATCATATGGAAACATTGCATTTTGAACCAATAAATGTAAAAATAAGGTATAATGCAAAAACACTTTTAGTTTGACAGTCTGGAGCCAACAGCGTTAGTAATTTATGACTGCCCTAATGCATGTGTGTGCTGCTGTCACATTTCCTCGTGTACCTGTAGTACCCCCGACTGGACGCGGTCTAGCAGAAGAGGGCACGTCGTCGGTGTGCAAGCCTCTGCTGGAGTACAAGCTGTCTGGTTGGAGCGACTCACCGCGGCCTGCTGATTCTGCTGGTGGCAGGAGGCTCAAGCCAAGGTCCTGTCTGAAAGGCAGAAGATAAAAAGAAGCTACCAAAAAGATTTCTTTGATAAAATAAGTTTTATAATGCATCAAATTCAACAATGACTTGTGTAAAAATTTACATTTATCTCATTCTTATGTGCTTGAATATTTTACTATTTACAATGACAGAGTGCCACACAGATGTTTGCCAGCAGTGTGCTGATGGTGTCTTCAAAGGAAGTCAGCAAATTTCTGCTGAGACCCAATCCATTAATCTAATAAAATAAAGATGACCCTTCTCCTTTTTATTCATGAAGGTCGGTTGTCTGGGTGCACTGAAGCAAAACGTTAAAACTGATCAAATCTGAGTGTAATCATTGATCAGACATTAGTTTCACTGCTTTAAAGCAGACTGCCATTTAGAATAATGCCAGAGAAGTCACTGACTTGCACATAAAACATTGAGTTTAGTGTGTAGTGACTGTTCTGGTTTACCTGGGAGTCAGACCAGTAGCAGAGGACATGCCCAAATCAGAAAATCGCTGCAAAAGACACAAAGAAGAAACATGCATAACCTCAAATAAATACATGACATGTATAAAAAGTTGTGGCAGGACTCGATTAAAAAATAAATCTAATAATAAAAGGCTTTATAATAAATTAATCTTGATTAATCACATTTTAACTGTTCAAGACAACAAACCCTAACTAACTCTAACCACAAGGTATATTTAGTAACTTTGGTCTCATTATAAAGGTAACCATTTGTTGGGATGTATAAATATTAGTATTTGTGTTATTTATGAAGTGTAAATGTACAGGGAACGCTAAATTTAAAAGTTAAAAATTAAGTTAAAAACTCATTAGTTGTCACACACAATGATGTGTGTGCGAAATTTGTTCTCCGCGTTTGACCCATCCCCTGGGAGAGTGGCGAGCTGCAGACACAGACGTACTCGGGAACCATTTGGTGGTTTAAAGCTTTACAGAACACCAGGTGGCAGCAGAACACTGTTAACATATATATGTATATATATGTATATATATGTATATATATATATATATACATATATATACATATATACATATATATATATATACATATATATATATATATACATATATATGTATATATATATATATATATATATATATATACATATATATACATATATATGTATATATATATATACATATATATACATATATATACATATATATGTATATATATATATACATATATATACATATATATACATATATATGTATATATATATATACATATATATATATATATATATATATATATATATATATATATATATATATATATATATATATATATATATATATATATATATATATATGTGTGTAGAGAGAGAGAGAGAGAGGTGTAGTGTAGAGTTCAGGGGAAGTTCTGCTGAGGGTTATAAGATGAATGCTGCGTGGATGCTCGTCTCTCCTGCTGTAATAAAGTTCATATGGATAAAGTTCCTGCCTGCTCTCTACCAACTGCAAAACATAACAGTAAAAAGTTAATGTTTTCTCTTCTTTTCTTCATGAGTAGCGATTAGTCGTGATTCATTTCATTGTAATTTTTGTTGTTGTTTGGAGCACATAAAAATAGGTCTATATGGTCTTGTTGCTCAGGCTCTGCACGTTTGCTAGAGGGGCACTTTGATGATATTGACTGATGTATGGGGAATACATTTTAACGATAAACCAAATGGAGGAGTGTTGGGGACAGTGAATGTTCAGTGACAGTGTGATGTAGAACTGTTGGAATTTTCTAATCCTAGAACGTCTCTGTCTATTTTCTATCAGAAGCTGATGCAGGAGAAAGGTGTAGGAGACTGTCTTCATGTTCAGCCTGCATGAAAAACTCAGAGTGACCCATTATAATCAGGAATAATCATTAAAAAATAGTTTTTTTAGTGAAGTTGACCTTTAAAGTGACACAACGTAGGGCCTAAACTCTGTTTTTTGAGAGTTTGAAACCAAGAACCACATTATTAAAGTAGTAATGATCCTTTTCCAACAGTTGTAACGTTGACTGGGATTTAGTGGGTTAAAAGCACTTTAGTTTCATGTAACCACTTAGAATACGCCCTGTTTTCTCTGAATGACTCATGACTCTTCTGCTCATGTAACTCTAACTGGTACTGGAAGCCTTTATCTAATTCTGGCAGCACTTTAAAACCCTCAAAATGAATATTATTGTCGAGTATTTCCTATAAATAGCTTTTCCGTTGTCTCGGATGCAGATCCTCCCCTACCATCAGTGTTACGCAAATGTTCGCAGCATTATACACTTTGATGATTGAAAGACAACTTCTCAAATCATGTGTTGACTTTCTTCCGTCTTAAAAAAGTCTTTCGCTGAACGCAGAACAACCATATAGAGGCTATATGGCTGCAGGGTCTTAAGCTGACGAGGGCTGTCAGGTCTCAGCTCCATGGCAGTAACAGATGGAGGAATGTTTAACTGATTAGTTCACTAAGAGGAAACGATTTAACTTGATTTCACAAACTCCATGTTGTGAAAGAAAGGAGAAGACCTTACGTGAGAATGCATCTTGGTATCATAAACTCTACAGGAACTTACACAAAGTTTTTTTAAGAGAGTCTCTGATAAGGTGCAACATGAAAGCATCGTGATCTGACAAAAGGACCTACAGATACAGCTGGAGGAGGACCAAGAGCTTGGTAGGAGGGCCCCCAAGCTCTGCGGCCATGATCTGGAGGGCTGGAGCCCTGGACGTTGCTGTTGACCCCTGGTAGAGTGATCCCTGCAGCGCTGCTCTGAGAGGTCGGTGACACGAGGGCAAAAGCGTCATCCAACAGGGAGTGCATCTGCTGCCGCGCCTCTTCAATGGAGGGCTGTGGCGGCATGTAGGGGGGTGGGGGAGGGGCATGGCCTGGGGGAGAGGAAGCAGGACCTAGGAAGACATCGTCTGTGGGGGAGGGGCTCCTCTGAGGGGATCCTGGGCCTTGGTCAGGGTCCGACTGAAATAACATAACATATCAACATGAACGGACAGTTTAATAGATACAATAAACGCCACGACGACGACTCACCACGTAGGCCACATTGTTGACTCCAGGACACTTTCTGCACGCCGCGTCGCTGTCTTCAGTGATCAGATGGTCTTTGTCTGCCTCCATCATGCCTCCATTCATTTGATCCCTCCGTTTCTGTTTTGGAGAGCGCCTCCCACGACCACTAAAAACCAGCACAACAAACGTTCTCACATTTTACAGCGTTTGTTCTGCTTTAGCCGAGAAAAGGAGCTAACGTCCCTGTGACAGCAGCGGAGCTCTGACCTTTTCTTGAATTCCATGAAGACGGGGGGAACCTGGGAGTCTGCGTCCAGAATCCTGTTGATTTGATTCTGTGCTTTTTGATAAATGTGATCCTGGTCCTTTGCATCGCCGAGGCCACTAATCATGTCGTCCATTGCAGGGAAATCATAATGGCCCTTCCTTTTGGCACGCAGACGGATCTTATTACGATGGTGCTCAATCTCTGACTTGTGTCTCAGTGCTGCCTGGATCTGAGGGGAAGATAACCAAGAAACAACCTCAAATTAAAGAATTTAGCTGATATTTGGTAAAAAAATAATAAACACTAATAATGTTTAAAAATTTGTATTATTTCCAAACCTTTTATTTAACAAATGTGAGCCAAAAATGCTGCAAAGTAAAAAAAAAAATAATAATAATTCAAAGCACACCTCTTTGTTCACTTGGTTTGTGTCGGACAGTTTTCCGTTGGCGGCTGGACCCTGCAGAGGTGGAACAGGCATGGGCTGCATGGCAATTAGCTGGATTTTATTAGGAAGTCTACGGCTGGCATCTGTAGGGCGAGACATCCGATCAACGTGCTCAAAGATGGCAGCTGCCGTCGGCGGCTCGAGTGCTGCGCCACCAGCAGGTGGAGGACCTGAGCAAGGGGCGAAAGCAAGCAACATATAAGCAGGAGTACATGAAACGGACATCTAGCATGTTTTAATGACAACTTCCTGTTTCACTGACATGTTGATCTAACAGAAATGCAGTGGAACGCTTCCAGTGGTAACAGTAAACAACACTTTTCATTTTAGACAGCGACTTCGTTCTTTTTGGTGAGGTTTATTGTTTCCACACTGTGACCGACAGCTCGACAGACAGTGATGGATGGTGGGAAACCAAGCAAGAGGGCGAGACTAGCAGAGAGACAGACAGAGGGCACACAGACAGCTGCTGGAGGTCCAGCCTGAGATCTACGGCGAAACAGAAAAACAAAGACTCTTACCAATTCTATTCTTGCCTGTAAATCCAAAAGAAAGTAAAAAAGAAGAGTCTTACTGAGGTAAAAGAGATCAAGTGTTACAAAGTCAACAGAGAAAAGTGATCCAACGCTGTAACATAGTTCGAATGAAGCATGAAGGAGAAAGACTTCATAGATAATAAAGTGTTTTCTTCAGGTTTCTAAGACACTGCTTGAATACAAGTTGTGCAGAAAACACACAGATCAAAAGGAATAGTCTATCTCTAATGTGGAGTGTTTTGCAGCAACAGAGCCCATTCCTGTGTGAGTGAGTCAGCCTGTGCCTGGCTGCGTCTGGCTCCTGCACACAGTCTCTGAGTGGCACTGCAAGCTTGAATCAATCAAGCAGCTGTCAGATAACAGTAACTTCAGCCAATGCTCGTTTCCCACTTCCTTCTTAATCTTCTCTCTGGACTTCATTCGACCACAAACAGAAATCCTACTGGATGTTACGTTTCCTGTTTGTAATCTTTACGTCACTGCTTTCTACTTCTCTGCCCTAAACCTGTCAATCAACCCTGCCAGCTTGAGTTGCTTTTTGTTTTATCTCTTCATCTCTGTCATTTCCACTCAGTCCCCCCCCCCACGTCTCTGCTCTGTGTGTTTGGACGAGTGCCGCAGAGTGTTGCCGAGGCCACTTGCCGTTTAAAACATTGATGGGGGCCTTACGGGTGTGCTTGCTGTCGCTGGGCGTGGCGTGGGCTCTCAGGTTCTCCTCGGTCGATTCGCGCTCACTAGAACGGTCACTCACCACTGAGTCGCCATCTGATGGGGAGATCCTGTCCAGAAAACACACACTTACATAAATAATAGATGCCGGGAACACACCGATGTGCTGAGATGTCATGCATAATCAAAAACTCTGCTCCTCTGTCATAAGAAACAAAACATTCTTCATTAAATCTATGATTAATTTCACGAGAACAGTTTACGGATTTAAAAAGTAGAGCTAATTGTACAATGTTGAAAAAGAAAATAAGTCCTTTATTTCTGTGATATCAACTTGTTGGTAAGAGGCAAGGAATAAAAACATTTATTATTAATATGTCTGTCAGAACCTGTTTAGTCTGGCTAACAGCGTGCAACAGTTAGGGTGACCTGAGCATGACCCTAATGGGATGAAAATAATGAGTATAAATACCAGCATTAAAGTGTTAATAGATCTTTTACATTCTTCCACATCTTCCCACAGGAAACCAACAAGACAAGTTTATTCTTCACTGAATTAAAGTGAAACCTCTGTCACAAATGGGGACTACATCACCCTAAGCCTAACCCTGGGTCCACACTGTGGGCATCAGATAGGATTGGGTTCTATTGTTGTCGCTAGGAATGCAACGATACCACTTTTTTCCAAACTGATACGATACCGATACTTGGATCTGAGTACTCGCCGATACCGATTACCGATACTTCTACCACACCAAAAAAATGCAATGAATTGGAATACAGGTTTTATTTTCTTCTGTTTTCAATAGGAAAAGACTGTGAGGTAGATGAAAAGTACTATAAGTGATCACAAAACTAAAATAGTAGAAGAACAGACATGACAAGTTACAGTGAAGATACTTTCAAGCAACTGCACTGGTATCAGTTACTGGTATCTGTTAACTTTTACTGATACCGATACTGGTATCAGTATCTGTATCGGCACCGATACCGATACCAGTATCGTATCGGTGCATCCCTAGTTGTCGCAAGCCACTTCAGAGATGTGTCAATTTCAGCAATTAATGTAGAACAAGACAGGGAATCGCACAAGTGTAAAATGTCCATTAATTTTCTAAATAAAATTCTACTGCAGAGATGCAATGTCTCATCTATGTCAATAACATCTATTCGTGTGACCTCACAGCTTACAGTATTTACTACCAGCATCTGTCAAGAAGTACAACAATGTGTTTTTCTTCATGGGTGTGATCTCCTTTTCTTCTTTTTGCTTTAACGATGGATGAAGCCTTGAGGGATTTGGTGGTTCCATGAGTTCAGGGAAGAGGATGGCACAGATGCCATGCCGTTGATGCCCCATTGTAGATCTGGGGTTACCCTAACCCACCCACAGGTAAGCACTAATAAAAAAAAATCATCTGTATTTTATTATTAAGCACAACGTTTGATGTGAAACTTTTAAATTGAGACTGAATCCAATTAAGAGGAATATTTCACCTCAGTTGGATTAATGAGGTAACACATAGACTGAAGGGAAAGAGTGAGCACAAATTTTCTTTAACGATTAAAATGTGATTAATCAAGATTAATTAATTAAAAGCCTCTAATTAATTAGATCAATTTATTAAAATTGAGTCCCATTCCTAATTATAAGACAACAAATAATTTCACATTAAATTGTTAAACCAGCAGAAATATTCTAGTAGTCATGCAGGAAGCACCCCAGGCTGCACCGGAGACAGCTGATGCTACAATTCTAGAATTCTGTTAAAACTGATGATGATGTCAATGCTTCAACAAAAATGCTTGCATGAACCAATTTTAACTTGTTACAAGAGTAGAAAACTCACTGCTGGCCGCGTTTACAGCCCCCTAAAGTCCTGTTAAATTATCAACTTGTTAATGCATCACCTCTGGTTTCTGTGAAAACGTGGATATGCAGCAAAAGTAAACACAATAACAAAATGCATAACTAAAAATATCAGTGAAACAGACTGGAGCTCTAGGTAAACTGTTTTGACCTACTGTGCCACAAGGATGTAGGGAAATATTTGTCTAAAATCATTTTTTGTGTGCTTTTTAAATTCAATGATGTGAATTCATCATCCAAACTCATCACACAGATTCCCACCCCCCACTCACCTCTCTCGCCTTCGACTGCTGCGGGACGCCTTGGTGGAGGAGGCTGATGTTCTAGATTTGGTCGTGGGAGCATCGCCGTTTTCAGATGGAGCGATGCCATCTTTAGCAGACACAGGGAGGGGGCCGGAGCCAGACCCCATTGGGACAGGCTCCTGGATCACCATGACGTCATCTTTGTTGTGCTGGCCAAGATGGAGCTTAGCAAAGTCAAATCCCTTCACACTGGGAGCCTGTAACTAATAAAGGAAGAATAAAGCAAATATGGCGAGAAGAGGGAAACATGATTTTTTCTGTATCACTGAGCAATCATTTATTGCTATTAACAAAAAATATATATATATTTTTGGTAAAATGATAAACGAGATTTTTAATTTTAAAATAATGAACAACAAGAAACTGTTTATAAAAGACAAGCAGGAAGTCAAAATGGCCAAATAACTAAATGTTACTTCAGGTGGGAGACAAGTGGACATGAATGAATAAAGAGAGAGCCAGAGAGTCTGCTGGAAAGCAGGGGATGGGAAAGGGCCGAGTAAACACTGAGGGTTTCGCTTTCCTTTGAGGCGGTGGTGAGGGACGGAGGCTGAAAACAGCAGCAGTCTGACTGTTCCTGTGTAAAGCTCTCCAGACTTTCCAAGGTGTAAACAGAAGATGCAAACTCTTTAAAGTGTGTGTGTCTACAGTCGACCAAGCTGCTGCAACAGAGAGAGAAGAGCAGGACACGTCCCTGTTCATTCTCACTTATCACTGGGTGAGTGTGCAGTAGTAAAGCAGGCAGCTTAGAAGCTTGTAGGCATAAAACCGCTAATCCAGTGTGATACTACTAATCCCGAGTCAGTAAATGTGTGTGTGTGTGTGTGTGTGTGTGTGCTGCTTTTCATGGCACATAATTAGAACCAGTCTTTGAGTCACAAACATCCCAAAAGCTGCAGGAGAGAAAAACAAAAGCAAACACCCAGCTAATAATTTCTGCCAAGCATCACACACAGGAATTGCTACGGAGTTTAATTTAACGGTAAAGCGAGGAGTTGCAACATGCAGGTACTGCAGCAGCTACTGACCTGCTCTACAGACAAGGAACCAACCAGAAAATCTCAAACTACAAGATTTTATTTGTTTCCTTTAGTTATGATATCAGGAGAAGCCAGGATTTTAAGCTGGAATGACAAAATGACTAATCTCCTACAGCATCGTGTACCTCCTCTTTGGCTCGTCTCCCTTTAGACAAAACTTCCTCCGTAGTCTTCATCCTCCCTGCTTTGTTCTGGATCGCTTTCATCTGTTGTCGCTTTTGCTCTTGAGAGGGAATTTCTTTCTTTTCAAATTTTCTATATTTGTCCTCTTTTTCTTCTTCCTCCTCCTCTTCTTCTTCCTCCTCCTCCTCCTCTTCTTCCTCCTCCTCCTCTTCTTCTTCTTCCTCCTCCTCCTCTTCTTCCTCTTCCTCCTCCTCTTCTTCCTCTTCATCCTTATTCATCCTTCTACTCTTGGGGAGAACCTCAGACTTCTAATCAAATGCAACAGTGCATGTTTGTTCAGAAATTGCTGACGCTAATTACTCCCATTATTTCCTAAATAACTTGCATGAAATGATTCATTTAAATTTGCCACAAAAATAACAACAGCACACACATCTACAACAACAGTAAACACAAACTATTAGACCTTTTCCAACAGCACTACTCTGCGTGGCTCCGAGGGTTTGGTTCACTCGGACTGCTTTTTCCAACAACGCAGTTTGGTATTTTCTCTACTTTCCCTCAAAGTTGACGTCCCTGCTCTGTTCTGCTTCCAAGGGCCGACTCCGACTTCGCACGAGCGGAGCAGAATGGTAGCGGAACTGTGTACTTGAAGCCTTTCTCGCCTTCCTTGCGAGATCACAAAATCTCTCGAGACTTCAAAGATCACGGTTTGTTTATGCCGTCCACCGTTAAACCAAAAACGAGTAGAAGGAAACGTCACATACTGCCGGGATTAAAGCCATGAAAATCACACTGCTGCACTCCTCGAGCGACGCTGGGAGTAAATAAGCCGTTAGGTCACTTGCATTGACGTAATCAACATAGATATGAAATCGCATTGCTGCGGTAATCTTTTATTTTGAAAATTACCAGATGTTTTACACTGAAGCTGTGTGAGATTTCCTGTCAAGCCTCGTCTGAACCGCGGAAACTGACATGTCCCAGAATCGCCTCACAGCTAAACTAGTACCCAATCCCATCTTTAGCAGCGTGTTGCTTCCGGGACGCACCTGAACATCTCCGCGTTTGGATCATTCCTATAAACCATAACGGATTCTATTTGAAGCAGAAACGTTCCGCGCCGCTGATGCCTCCAGGGTGAGGTCAGGGTGAGTTGGACCTGCACCTGTGACTGTCAGCCACTGATTGGCTAGGAGGCAGAGTCACTGTTTGCTTCTGAGCTTTCTAGCTGCGGCCTCGCAGCCTGCAACCATTTCCTGGTTCAGAGTCTGACAAAAAAAGCAATAAAACTGAACAGGATGTTCATCATCAGCATTTTTGTGCTGCGTTGTGTTTGTGTATAGCATACAGATCACCTCATGCTACGTTTGTCTCAACCAAAGACCCCCTCCCCCATGCTATGAGGAGTGCACCCACTTTTTGGTGAGGTAAGCTGAGTTAACCCACAACGTGGGTAGTTTAGGATGACTAGTGCTGTTGGAGAAGGCGTATTGGTCTGACTACATGTTCTACAAACCACCAGACACTACTCTGTACCTTCCCCTTTTTAACCTCCTCCTCCTCTTCTTCCTCTTCCTCCTCCTCATACTCTCCCTCTTCATCCTCACTAAACTCAATACCCCCTTTAGTTGGAGGGAGTGGTTGGTGAAGAGGAGCTCTGGATTCACCGAATGACGTATTGGACTGAGAGAGGAGTGGCGGTGTTAGGTGACAGATGATTGCGGCGTGCAGAAAGGACAAGTTGTTAGTTAGTAATGGAAGAGATTCAGCGAGTCTGCTCAAGTGCGTTCCCAGAAAAGGTCAAATAAAAAGAGAAATGTAGTGAAGGGGAGAATAAAAACACAAATGGTAAAAATAGAGCACACTACAAAAAAAGGCAAAACCTCGCGTCTTCACTGGGATGCGTGTTCTCAAGTCAACAAGTGAGATGCAACACAGCTGGGCGTCAGCCGCTCACACTGCTTCATCAGTGACGACTGAAACCAAATGCAACGTTTAACTGATCTCTCGTACTTATAATGGACTTGGAAGTAGAACAAAAGGTTGTACAATTGTTTTTCTAAGGGGTGGTAAATATTTTCGCATCCCAGTGCAACTTTCACAAGAGCACTGAACAAAGTTGAAGATGCTTATATATAAAAGTGACACAAATAAACTAAAATGTAATTAAATGTCACGTTGAAAGTAATTAAAATATTCAAATCCACTCGCTCAAGCCAACCAAGACGTCGTGTTTACTGAACTAAAGGGAACAAAACGGGAAAATAGATCAACTGTTTGAGCAGCTTTCATTAAAGCTATGACTAGATCAGCGTTTTATTGTCATCTCGTCGTCTTCCTCCGCTTATCCGGGTCTGGGTCGCAGGGGCAGCATCCCAACTAGGGAGCTCCAGACCGTCCTCTCCCCGGCCACCTCCACCAGCTCCTCCGGCAGGACCCCAAGGCGTTCCCGGACCAGATAGGAGATGTAACCTCTCCAACGTGTCCTGGGTCGACCCGGAGGCCTCCTGACGGCAGGACGTGCCCGAAACACCTCCCCGGGGAGGCGTCCAGGAGGCATCCTGACCAGATGCCCAAACCACCTCAACTGACTCCTTTCGATCCGGAGGAGCAGCGGTTCTACTCCGAGTCCCTCCCGAATGTCCGAGCTCCTCACCCTATCTCTAAGGCTGAGCCCGGCCACCCTACGGAGGAAACTAATTTCGGCCGCTTGTATCCGCGATCTCGTTCTTTCGGTCATTACCCAAAGCTCATGACCGTAGGTGAGGATTGGGATGTAGATCGACCAGTAAATCGAGAGCCTGGCTTTCTGGCTCAGCTCCCTCTTCACCACGACAGATCGGCTCAGCGTCCGCATCACTGCAGACGCCGAACCAATCCGCCTGTCGATCTCCCGATCCCTCCTACCCTCACTCGTGAACAAGACCCCGAGATGCTTAAACTCCTCCACTTGAGGTAGGACCTCTCCCCCGACCCGGAGTTGGCAAGTCACCCTTTTCTGGTGGAGAACCATGGTCTCAGATTTGGAGGTGCTGATCCTCATCCCAGCCGCTTCACACTCGGCCGCGAACCTACCCAGCAAGAGCTGAAGGTCAGAGCTGGATGAATCCAGGAGGACCACATCATCCGCAAACAGCAGAGACGAGATTCTCCTGCCACCAAACTCAACACACGTTTTACCGTCTCCATCAATTAGCAAGACTCAGAGGTCTCGTGTCAAAACACGACCCTGAGGAACTAAATCATACATTCATCTCCAGCGTTCCTACTGGCCTTCCCAAAAACAGCTGTAAAACAACTGCAGCTTATTCAGAACGCTGCTGCTAGAGTCTGAACAAGAACTAAAAGAACCGAACACACCACCCCCTGTTCTTAAATCTCTACACTGGTTACCGGTAAACTTCAGAATCGACTTCAGAGTTTATAAACCTCTCAATGGCACGGAGCCAAAGTACATGTCGGATCTCCTCAACCCAGCAGGGCTCTCCAGTCAGCTGGTGGCACCCCGGGGCCAGATCCAAACAGGGTGAAGCTGCTTTTAGTCACTATGCTGCACACAGATGGAATCAGCTTCCTTATGACCTCATGCACCAACTCTAACGTTTAAAACAAAATTAAAAACCTTCATATATTCGTCAGCCTTTGAATAAATGCTTCTTATGCTGCACTTTCTACACTGTAACTGCTCTGCTATTGACTCTGCCTTTTATCTGTTTGTTGAATATGAAATCAGTATTTACATTTCTTTGTTTGATTGATTGTGTTTGCTGTTTTTGCTTCTGTAAAGCACTTTAATTGCCTTTGTGTTTGAAATGTGCAGTACAAATAAAGCTTGCCTTTCATTTTCAAGTTATTGTTGTAACTGATTGGTTTACATGTAGTCTGTCATTAAATAATAAATAAAAGACAAACTAATACACATGTGGGATATTCGAGGGTAAAACAAATCTCTCACATGCCCTTTATCTCATGGAAATAAAGTAGCATTTGCTTTAGATCAAGAAAGATGCAATATCATGACAGCTAGCCACCTTACTGCAATCAAACTGCACAAATCATCTTAAAAATAAAGACAAAAAGTCATAAAAAGCTTTTAAAATCTCAGGGGATAAACGGATGAAACGATCTGGAGTCAGTGAATGGAGCTGCAGCTGCCTCCAGCATGCTGATGAAGAAAACATCAGAAAGGTTTTCAGCGGTGCTGAAAAACATCGATTAAAGTCTGAATCGGGATTCTTATTCATAAAGATTCAGAATCGATTCCAAGAACTCAAATATTTGTTATGTTACAGGTTTGAGATGAACTTTTTTTATCTTTACTAGGACAGTCGGTCCTCCGTTTACTTGTGTGGTCCCATAAATTGAGATGATTTATGTTTGAATCTGCTGAATCTGGGCACTTGAATGTAATTTTTTCCATACTCAGAAATTTGAGATATTCTCATATTTATTTTCTAAGTTGATAAATAAGTACTCAGGATTACTCATGTAACTTGTTTCTACACATACTTGAAAAGTATTTGACCGTATTACTTTCAAAGCTACTGTTAGGTAACTACAGGTTTGTTATATTTTACGAGGTAAGCAAAACTAAATGTTGCCTTTTGGTCAAAAGATTGCTTCTGTTTACAGTTTTAGAATCACTTTAGTTTACATTGTGGTTAAGGAGTTACCAGCAACAGCAACGGCATGGGCGATGTTAAACGTACCTTCTGTCTTTGCTGTATGGCAGACATGGCATCTGGCTGAAACTCCAGCTTATCTGTCCGACACAGCTTCCAGTAGAGGACGGAGATGACGACGAGAACCACGAAAAGGAGCATAACCGCCCCAACGATGATCCACATGTTGTTGTTGTTGTTCTCCACCTTCTCTACAGCTGTAAACAAACAAAAATCAGAGTTTGCTTTAAAAAAGATCCTACTTAATAAAAAAAATAAACCCTCATTTGTCCTTTTAGAAGAATGCTGCTAAAGAACAAAGCCGCTTGAGGGAAATAACTCCCCTGAGCGACTCTCATTACACCGTCATTCCATGTTCAGTGTTCTAATGAGGGTAACGGGGCTTTTGAGACAATGAGAAACATAGAAACGTGAAGCTCGCAGGAGTTTGGACATTAACTAAAAAAACATCCATAACAGTAAAATCCTGTTATTTCGGCCACGACTCAGAGCTCGTGACCTTAGGTGAGAGTAGGGGCGTAGATCGACCGGGGTCAGGTTGTGGGGGAAGCCGCAGCAGTCCGCTTATCAGTCTCACGCTCCATCGTTCCCTCGCTCCTGAAAGAACGAGGTCGCGGATACAAGCGGCCGATATGACTTTTCTCTAGGGCTGCTCAATTAATCGAATTTAAATCACGATTACGATCTGAGTTTTGAACGATTATAAAAAACAAAACAAGCCGATTATTTGCTCCTCCCGCTTGCGCTGCCCTGAGTTGCAAATGAAGCGCTCCTCCCACAGTGTTGACAACTTAGTGACTGTGAAGCTATTTCTAGCAGCTTTTCAGACCCCCTTCTTGACTTTTTAACTTAAAAGTACCTAGCGAACACCTGAGAAACATCTCTGGTAACCCTTAGCTACTTTCTGGATAACTGTCGTCGACGTTTCCTGCAGGTTAGCTAAACACTCCGCCTGCGCGCCGGACCGTTCTTCAGGACATTAGGAAAGGGAATGATGTAGTGATGTGTCAGTCGCTAAAGAAACAGCTCTCGGAGCCGGCTCCTTGTTGGATTAACCAGAGTGAGTGACGCACACACCGCACCTGCGGACTCCTGAGCCGCTAAAAATGGCTAAATGTGCGCGTGCAGCACGCTAAACACACGTGCAGCTTGCCCCGATTGCTGTGAGACCGGGTTGGGGGGTGGGGGGTGCAGCTGTGGTTGGGACAATTATTACATTAACTGATGGACTTGTAAATAAATAGTTTATAAATAAGGTAGAAATAAGTTCCTCACGCTGATAAATAATAACTAATCTCTCTGAGGACACGGTGCTAGTGCACTCCTACAGCACCTTGACACGACTAAATACGTATTATGCAACATTTTGTGAACATCAATTAATTTGCATTTATTTGTTATAAATGCCACTGTATAATTCTTGCTGACAGTATTTGCAAGATATTGGTATTTGGGTCTGTACTAGTTAGACTTAAATGAGTTGAACCAAACCCTTGGGTCATAAACTATGAGCTATAAGTATATTGGTCTTTTTATACTGGGAATCAGGAGTTCTTTTAGTGATCATCTTGTTTCTTATTTTTGTCCTGATTGTGCCCTGAGCAATTTATGACTGATTAAAAACAAATAAAATCAACATAAATTGAAAAATCGTCCTAAATAATCGTGATCTCAATTTCAGTCACCATAATCGTGATTATTATTTTTGCCATAATCGAGCAGCCCTACTTTTCTCCGAAGGGTGTCCGGGCTGTCCCTTAGAGATAGGGTGAGAAGCTCGGTCATCCGTGACGGGGGGTAGAGATGGAGTAGCTCTGCTGCTCCTCCACATCGAGAGGAGCCAGCTGAGGTGGCTCGGGCATCCGAGTAGGATGCCTCCTGGATGCCTCTCTGGTGAGGCTTTCTGGGCACGTCCAATGGGGAGGAGACCCAAAGGAAGACCCAGGAGCTGCTGGAGGGACAATATTTCTCATCTGGCCAGGAAACGATTCAGGGTTCCCCCGGAGGAGCTGGCCCAAGTGGATGGGGAATGGGAGGTCTGGGCCTCGCTTAGGCTGCTGCCCTCACGACCTGACCCCGGATAAGCGGATGAAAATAGATAGAACAATAAAATCCACGGTAAAAACATGTATTAACTCAAAAGGCCATTTCCCCCGCCCCATTTATGTCCAATGGACACATTTGTTTGGGGCGACGGTGGCACAGGACTTAAGTGCTCGTCCCATAATCGGAAGGTTGCAGGTTCGAGCCCCGCTCAGTCTGTCGCTGTCGTTGTGTCCTTGGGCAAGACACTTAACCCACGTTGCCTGCTGGTGGTGGTAGGGGGGACCGGTGGCGCCAGTGCTCGGCAGCCTCGCCTCTGTCAGTGCGCCCCAGGGCAGCTGTGGCTACATCGTAGCTCATCCCCACCAGTGTGTGAATGTGTGTGTGAATGGGTGAATGACTGATTGTGTTGTAAAGCGCCTTGGGGGGTTCCAGGACTCTAGAAGGTGCTATATCAAATACAGACCATTTACCATTCATTGAAGAACTCAAGAAAAGGACTGGATTGTAACTTGCCAGATTCCTTTTACAACAACCTAACTTCTTTTTCCCAGAAGGTGAAAGACAGAAGATACTCACGCTGAGCCAAGACACCCTGCACACGAAATCCCAGGATGATGGCAGCTCTTTGCAGATCCAGCCTGTTGAGCAGGTCGGCCGTTTGGACCGCTGGCACCCTCTCACCATTCGGACCCTCAACAAAATACATGATCTCTAAAGGGTGGTCAGCAGCCTCCAGGCGACTCATGTTCACAATCTGGTGCACAGGACAGAGGAAAGGGCCCAATTAATGAGACATAAGAGCTTCATTAGATTTATTTTAAATCGTTTTTATCAAGATTCATTCAATAAACACATTAAAATATTAAGTAAGCTTATGTGAATGTTGTCAGTGTCCACCGCTCTAGTTTTCAGACATGTAATTTTCTCTCCCAAACATAAATGTGTCCAGATGTTGTAAAAAAGGCTGAAGGACTCTCAGAGCAACTGCAAGACTGCCGTCCTACCAGTAATCACACTGCTGGAGGTATTTATATCTCTTTGGCAGGATTTTGAGACCCACAAATCCTTTTTTATGAGATCTTTCTGTATCTGCTAAGGATTCAGTTTCAATATTTAGTGAATATTCCAGAAGGTTTCAGATCCAAGTCTATATTTTAATCATGACATTCCCATTTGCTTCACCACCAACTAGACGTTTCCAACATGAAACATACGAGGCTAAAAGGAGATGCTCAAGCAGGTGGGAAAGAAGCGCTTCCAGAAGGGACCAGAGGATTCTCGGATGACGACCCCCCCCCCCTCCCGTCTGAACTAGGAACGATGAGGGTCCTAATGAGCAACTTGTCATAAAACCAGTGATAAAACGATCTTGTAATAAAGGATCACATTCATCATTCTCTGCAAAACCGTATCTATTTTAAGTTCGTGACTTCAGAAACTACATTAGAGGGAAACGTTGCAGTTTTGACTTGCTTTTGGCACCCCCTAGAGTCCATTTTAATTCACTGTCAAAAAACAAAACAAACTCCTCCGCGCTGTGCGTTTGTTTAATCTAACCGCTGGAATGTTTCCTCGGCCCTCGTGAGTTTCTACACGAGACTTTCTACATTAATTAGGAGCGGTTCATCACTAAATCAAACCAATCCGCTGTGTTGACCATCTAAAACATCTCGGTGCTCAGAAACCTCCTGACTTTTCATTCACCTTATAAAGGGTCATTTTAGCACATGTTAGCTCAAAAAAATGATTGAAAAATATGCAAAGGTTGCTTAGTATGCCTCAGTGATTTAGCTTCTTTGGACGAAAGTCAGATTAAACTGGCCTTTATTTAAATATCCTGCATGCCGCCTGCTGAAAGCATCCATGTTTGATTGCATGCGAGTGCTTAGAGTCTACTGAGTGCCCTCGGGCACGGCGCAGTCTGCTGTCTGTATTACCGGAAAGCCTAAAACTCAGGTCACGTCTGGGCTGACACAGAAAAGCGGCCGGGCAGGCACCCTCATTCAGGGTCAAATCTAGTCTATGCACAGTTATTAGAGTGGAAAGAGGGTGGTGAATGTGTGTATTATCACACTAACCCCCCCTCCAGCTTCCTCTTTCATCTGTCTAGCTAAGCTCAGAAGGCATTTTCAGAGAAAACAACACTACGCTAATCCCATCATGACTGTTCAGGGCTTCTGTCTGAGATCAAGCATGAGAGTTCACGTGCACAAAAGCAAGATAAGGAGCGCGCTTGTGTAATTTAGGGCTCGCAAAACGAATAAAAAGTGCAGGTACAATAGTATTTCTATGTGTGATGTGGATTTGTGACTCTATAATGGCTGTCAGGGTCTCAAATCATAAGTCGAATCAGGATAAAACACAAAAACTACAGGTTGATCGTGAATATTATCCTTTATTGCACTCATTCATCCAGTGGATTTTAGAGACATAATGTTAGAGGCAGAAAGGTCAGAAGCAGTGGGGCTGATATATGAAGCTGATGATGGCATTTATCATTCAGACAGCCTCTGTGTTTCAAATTTATGTTATTCACAGAGTCAAAATTAAAAAAACACATCGTAATATTCTCTTTATCCACAGATTTTTTCAGATTCGTCAATAATTTACATCTCTGACACCCATTCCATTAATGCCTCTTTTCCACCGAAAGCAGCAAACAACTAATCGTCCCCACTGAGGGACATGGACGTAGAAAAGGACACAATGAATTATTGATCTGCTATTAGCCCCTCTGTCTCTCACAGCAAGTGAAGAAATGAGGAAAAGGAGCCGAAATCTGAACCCCCCCCCCCCTTTAGGTGGTCGTCTTTGAGTGGCCCGTCTCTGGGGTGACTGGGATGCTGTTGCCATGGAGGCAAAGCCACATCCTGTCCCCTCAGACTTGAGATGAGCAGGTGCAGAGGAGCCACAAAAGCTGAGGCTTGATTAGTAAAGCGGTTAGGCTGTCTCTGGGAGGCTAAACGGCAACACTCGCACACCGAGTCCTCTGTGTTCAGACTAAATACTCAGCAGCTTCTTCCACTGGCGATTACATTACTGGTACAAGGAAAGATACTTCACAAGTAACCCAGTACCTCTTCCAGAACACAGCTTCAAAGCTAAACACGTTAGCACTAAATCTTTTTTATCCCACCTGCTTTTACCCGTTTCTATTGAATAAATGTGTGAAGGGAAAAAACAAACCTGGACGCTGTTGTTGCCAACAGTCGTGGCTCTTTTAACCCGTCTCGTTTGTCCCATTGCCTCTGCAAGTAACAGGGCCACTTGGCGCTCTATGTTGGCCTGAAAGGTTCTTTCGCTCTGTTTCTGCTCCAGAACGCCCAGAAGTACTACAAAACCCACAAAACACAAGTCGTTGCCATAGTAAAACTGTTTTATGTTACATGTTAAAGGTCAGAGGTCTCTTATAACAAAAACTAACACATATTTACCTGTTCGAACCCAGGAGGAGCGAAGCAAAGAGCTGGTGTTGAGCTCTGGATAATGTAAAGCTTTTGGGAAAACAAAACAAAATGGAATTAAAGAAAGTTTAACCTACAAGATAAGTGACTTCATGGTACTCACGTTCAGCAATCTGCAGGACAGGGAAGCCAATGTAGTAGCTGAATTCCACCACTGTGAGTTTTAACAGAGCATCGCTGACCTCTGACCCCGTCAGGAAGCCCCTTGAGCCACTAATAGTGAAGATGATGTCCACTGGTTGCCTTATCAGCTGCCGGTTCTCATATTTGGGCACAGCTGTAGTAATGTCTATTATCTAAAACAAGCAATAGCTAATTAGAAAAAGAGGTATTAAAAGCTTCCTTTACTAACAACCGCTGAAATAACTGAATTAGACTAAACTCCTATAACACAAAGTAACCATAAAATTCAACAAGGGCGCCCCCAAGGGGTGGCCAGGGGTGGCCTTGGCCACCCTAGAAAATTGTTGCCCCCCCCCCCCAGAAAAAGCGGCATTGAATTCACAGATAAAAAAGATGTGGGTTCAACTTTCATTTTGGAACAATTTTTCAAGCAAGGGAAATGAATGATCTGAGCATGCAGGAGGACTGATCCATCATAAACCTTTGTTGGCTGTGCTGAAGAGAAAGGTACAGAACCAAATTATTCTATTAATTAGCTGTCCCCCCCCCCCCCCCCCCCCCCCACACACACACACACACAGGGGACTGTCTCAGCTGTTATTTTCGTTAAGGAGTGTGCACGTACAGCATGCGTGCCTCGTGCACGAGCATACTACTGAAGCTGCCGTTACGCTTTTGGCCTGAGGGGGCAATCGCGAGCATCAAAATTCAGAAGTCCGTAAAGTCCCTTTAATATATAAAATGTTTCTGTTTGTAAAATTTTAGTTAAATGTTTTGGATACGTACTGTTATTTTAATAAAATCGAATAAAAGTGCAATGCAGTACATCGCCACAAGCTAAATTCTCCCAGAGTTACCACAAGGACCAATTTGGTGTGCCACCCAAAAAGTTTCTATGGCCCCATCTGGCCACCCCATCAAAATTTTCTGGAGGCGCCCCTGAATAAGATCTAATAAAATGTCAAAAACCTTCTTTTATTATTATTTTTTGAATAAATTACAGGTCGTATGAGAAAAACTCACATGCTTTAATGCTAAAAGAAAGATAAGAAACCATCTTATCTACTGTCTGCAATGGCCGTTCAGTCAAACATTAGGAGTACAATAGATATGATGACATCAGAATTCGGGTTATTACTACAACTCTACAGATGTGACAAGCTAAAAATAATAAAATGTTTCAAATTTACGTTGGGATAGTATTTCTGAAGCCACTGGTCCAAAGAATTCAACCGTTGATGAATAAAAGAGTCGGTCACTGCAAATAAATATGGTTTTCTGACTCACTTTTGCTGCATACCGTTGAGATTTCACACCCAAATGACCGAAGCAGCTTGGTCTAATAAACACATGTTCAGCTTACTTGCTCAAATTGCCTGACTCAGTAAGGAATTATCTTTTCTTTTGATAAACAAAGTAGTGACTTCCATTTGAGAAAGCTTTGATTTACCACAGCTGGCACACATAAACGCTCCACTCACATGCACCGTGAAGTTGGTTGATTCTCCTGAGCGACGCCGAACTTCTGCAAAAGCCAGGGTCAAACCTTTCTCCAAGCTCTCGCTGAAGTTGCAGAAGCGAACGTCGATGTAACCGGGAACAAACTGCAGCACTGCAAAGGACAGTCACGGGGAAAACGGTGATGACGTTTAAAGTCTGCAGCTGTTCACAGCTACTGCAACACATGTTTCGATGAGTGGTTTACCTGTTTGGACCTGATATTTACTGTCTGGTATCACCCAGTTAGGAGTCACATTCAGGAAGTTCCTCTCATATCGCAGCAGTGCATTAATGACAGATATGGCCGTGTACACAATTGGGCCCGAAACCACACGGAACTCGAAGCTTGGAGGGGGATTCACGACCTGTAGAGACAAATCAAATGTAAGGGTGTGTTTTATTTACACTTGAAACCATTTTCAGCTGTCTGGATTAAACATACAAGAACACCCTGTTGACATCGATGAATAAACGTACAAATCCCAAATGAGAATTTCAGTTAGTAAATATTCCACTTAATCCAAAATCCCCTTAAATTCTTAGTGATTTTCAGTGTTGGGAACAGTACTTTTAAAAAGCAATTAGTTATAGTTACTGATTACTTTGTCAAAAAAGTAATTCAGTTACTTACAGAGTTACAAGATTATAAATGTAACCAATCATCAAGAAAAATAACTATTTTGTTACTTTTTTCCATTAAAGAATGCAAGAAAAATGGGTTCCCCTCTTAATTTAACTTTCTTAATTTACTATAAATTACTGCAAATGACTAATGACTGGAACATAATAAAATGTATGTCCAAATGTTTTTTATAAAACTGAATAATTGAAATAAATGGACACTTAGCAGGAAGAACTACAAACAGGAACATGACACTAATCTAGACTATTAAAATATCACTGTGTGATATTTAACAAGACCCCAATCAGCTAAATTTTATAATTGCAAATAAAAACACTTGTAAAGGTTGCTGAGCCTTTAAATGGTCTCTCAGTCTAGTTAAATTACTGAAATAAATGTAATTTTGCACAGTATTCTAAGTTGTCCAGCTTCACATAACTGCATGTGTTTAGTAGCATTTCTGTTGCTGGTGTAATGTCCAGCAATGGTGAGTTTTAGGTACTGTTTGACCATTCAACATCTGGTCAAAAAGGAGACACGAGACTCCACGTGTCCCCTCTAAATCAGCCTTCCTCCGTCCCACCAGCTGGCGCTCAGAGCCTGCAGCTCTGAACACAGATAACGAAATGTCAACAATAATGTTCTCTCCTCACGGTCCAATCTTTCAGGATACTTCATGCCTCCATATAAGGAACACTCGCAGCCCGGATCAGTTGCTAAGTCAAAGAATGATTTCCTAAATCAGATAGGAACTTCTACAACTTATAAGCTAGATGATCATTAAATAAACGTTTGTTTATTGCTACTTATAATAATTATAATATAATGAAATGTTTCATTAATCTGTGCTCAATGATTGAAGTTTGAAATGATTAAAATATGTTTCAGCATGCTTATATGACAAGGTCATCACCATTTGCATTCACACAAGGACAAAAGAAAGTTAAGTTGAACTCATGACACATATAGATAGTCCTTTACCCAGATCAGAGCATCCGGTATCAAAGAAGGCGTGTTTCTGAGATTCTTGGTAATATTCCTCAAACTTGTCAACCTCTGGTTGGCTACACAAATCATAACATGAGCACATTAAAACCAGATCACTCTGGTGATTCATCAGTTCTAGAGAAAGCTTCAGACCGGCCACCTGAAGCAAAACCCTCTTTAACCAGCAAAGCTTTCGACACGCCGTCAAAATCTTTTTGCACCTGCGAAGCTGATAAAGCAAACCGTTCACGCAGAACAAGCTGATATTGTTACGACTCCTTCAGAGTCCCAGACGCGTGGTTCCATCCGTCGTGACCCAAGACATCTCTGGACTGGAGAAGTTGGTGCTGTGGTCTATCTACTGGACCTTCGGTGCCAGAGGTCATCCGACCTCTCTGACCTTCGGATCCACCAAGAGGGTTTCCGAAAACGGGTGAGGTAGACACACAGGCTGTGTCTCAATTCAGGGTCTGCATCCTACGTCGGCCGGATTCGTCGGCCGGTTACGTCACAGCGCCGCGACTCGGCCTGTCCCAATTCGAAGACTCCTTCAAATGCGGTCGACGAATGTGGCCTTCTTTTCGCCTGAATGAAGGATGGGTCCGGTGTATCCTTCAATGGGTAGCATTTCCCAAGATGCCTTGCGGGCCGGCCGGCAGAAAAACGGCGGACAGTGAAGCGGGAGCTGTCGGAGAGGATTGCGCATATAAATGTAAGTATAAACTTGAAAACTGTTAGGTTAAGGACTTTTGGTGATACATGAACGTTATTTTAGTTAGAAATGTTACAGTAAAAGTGCTTGTATTGCGGTCTCGGCTCGTATGTTCGGCCGCTTGGTGTTGTACTTCTCCCGCTACGTTTTCCCCCTGATTTTAATAGAAGTTTGTATTTTAGGAAAAAATGAGAAAACCAGGGAATTTATTAAGCTTAGGGCAGAGATGGACCACATGATCACTGGAGCAAAGTATTCGGCGGCTGTGGCATGGAGGTACAATAACATCTCATATTTTAAAAACTCGTTTGAGTTTTTTTTTCTGCGAAAACATGAAAGGAATAACCCGTTGTCCTCTTTTCTCTTCCTGTTTCTTTTCTTACATGTTTGTTAAGACTATTCTGGAGAAAATGGGCATCAAGGGGAAGGTGACAGCGATGACCAGCTTCTGGAGCTGATCAGGGAGGACACGAGGCTGCAGAGGGAGGCAGAGCAGCAGAGGGCACAGGAGAGAAGGGAGAACTTTGACAGCTTTTTACTTTGCTGGAAAATATGGTTAATAAAGATTAAACATGTACATATAAAAGAAATATCTAAATAAAATCAGTTCTGCATTAAACTCTTGAATTTTATTTTGGTTTACAAATGAGAATTGTTTACTAGAGGGTATCCCGCTGGGTCTTGAAAAGTCTTAAAAGGTGATAAATCGGTTTTGGTCAAATTAAGACCCTTAGAAAGTATTAAAAACTATTATCACATCTTTGCTCAGGCTCAGCTTGTCGAAAGTATTTTCTCCAAATTAGCTCTCCAACAGTCAAGGAAATGATTAAAGATCTAAATAAAACTTCGAGCTCCATCGTTTAAAGTTCCTTCTCCCTTCTGCTCAGCGGTTCCACGGTTGCTAGGCGACGGAACGTTTGCCGAGGGAGTGCCAGGAATTCATGAAGGCTAGGCCTGTCCAAATTCACAGCCGTTAACATCTGGTCTACTCGGCCGACGGAGGACCCAGCCCACGTCGGCCGAGTAGGCTGGGTCCTTCGAAGGATGCAGACCCTGAATTGAGACACAGCAACAGATAGCGTCTGATGTGTTTTTGATAATAAGCAACTTCATAGCTTAACGCAAACCAAATTCTTTTACATCCAGAACTCACCTCTCCTAGATCCGGAAGTTCTGACTAACATCGCATTCACACATAGGTTCATACATCACATCTAGTTCCATCCATCACAGGAAATGCTTAGTTAACTTGTCATGTTTTAATTGTTGGTAAAATAAATTCTTACTTTTATAAACCTGACTGTTTTCTGAATAAATACAAAGTGTTTACAATCCCCTAATAAATAAAGAATCCTAGAATCTTCTAGCGGGACGTCCCGCTGTAACGCCGAGAAGGGCACGGCTGCAGATCCACGCCTGCAGCAGTGACTCTGCGGGTCTGCAACCATAGACTATTCATCACGTCTTCCTCGCTCTTCACGGGCCGTGATGCGCTGGGATGAAAACTTCTGCCTCTTTTAGCTCCCAATCAGCTGACTACAGCTTCAACACAGCGCGCTGCTGAATTAGTAACGCACACATTTTCTTATCAGTAACGGAAACGGCGTTATGATAAAAGAAGATGGTAATTAATTCGATTACTCGTTACTGAAAAAACAAATAGCTTTAGTAACGCCTTTATTTTAAATGGCGTCATTCCCATCACTGCTAATTTCACACATTACCATGTTTTGCATATTATTTATATTTTTTCAAATGGTGAATAGTATTACCTGCAGTTCCACTGACTTGTTGAATTCCCTTTTCAGTACGTCTCGAACTTGAGATTTGGCATGACCAACAGTGACCCCAGGGGGAAAACCTTGCACAACAACCGGAAGTTTCCAGCTTTAAAATATGTCCAATAACTGAACTGCTCAATCAAATGTTACAAATTTAAGCTAAACAAAAACGAGACTTCAGAATTACCCATCCTTGTTAGATAAGCAGGCCTTTCCACGTTGCAGAGGTACGGCCTGGGCATTGTCGTCTTATCAGCCATAGTTGTAATAACGCTGTTGACTGTAGAGGTCTCAGTGGTGGTGTGATGAGCATTGGTTGTGCCAGGTTGACTTGTGGGTAAGGCAGAGACTGTATTAACATCACTGCTTTCTGGGATCAAGGCCATTGTGGTGGAGATGTCAGCTCCATCACCAGTTATGCCCTGATCACCCAACATGACAGGGGAAACTGGGGTGACACTAGGGGTTGTGGAATTGGTTGAAGCTGAAGCATTATTGAAAGGCTCTTCAGTTACAGCAGGGTCACTGGCAGCAGGTTCAGTAGGAACACTGGAGAAGGCTGTAGTTTCAGTTACGACAGTAGTAAAGTGTACAGACTCATCGTCAAACGAATCTGTGACAAACCAATGCACATCTGTCAGAGAGGAGGAAGTCGCCAAATCTTCTGGAAGCAGAGGTGTCGCACCAGGCTGCAAAGAATCTGTTATTGCAGTGTCCACATCCTCAGTCCGTGTATGCACGGACCAACCCGTGGTAGACAACTGGTCATTCCATATCGAAGAAGACGGATTGAGGAAATGAGTCGGGATTAAGGAAGGATCACGAAGCGGCTTAGTGGCATTGATCAGTTGAAGGTTCTCCTCAGTTGGACCTACCGTGGTCGATTCATCGGGAGGCTCAAACCCCGACAGATCCCCGGAGGACTCCTCGTCAGTTAGATTACTGGTGAAGCCGCTAGTGGGAGTGATATTTGTAGCGTTGATGGCAACTCTGGTTATATTCGTCTTATGTTCTGCTGAGACGTTGCTCTCCTTGGTCAGCTGAGTGGTGTAATACTCTAAGCTGTTCATGTCTGGTAAGAGGACATCTGTTGGCTGGATTGTAAAAGTGTCTCCCCAGTCTACATCTGATGTGCTAGATGTATCCGTGTGAGGCGTCGGGAGTATAAGGTGAGCTGTTGCAGAAAATGAAGAAGGATGTATGGATGTATGAGGAACGATAGTGTTGTGTGCGGTCATGAAACTGGAAGACGGAGAGAGATAAACAGGGTGCAGTGATGAGGGGGATATGCCCACTCTGGAAGGAAACGATGTGTCGTAGGTTTCTGTGTTTTCCTCCAGATCATAAGGGTCAGAGGGAACCTTCGTGACCAGAGAGGTGTCGTCCCTATCTTGATCCAAGTAAGAAATCGTTTCCAAATAGTCTCCAGACCCCCAGTCCACATCCATGGTGTTGGTGGGGTAGAAGTCGTCTGAAGGCACCTCAGCAGGTTCAGGTAAAGACAGGGTGGAGTGGGGGGTGATGGAAGGCACGAGGTAACCAGGTGACATGATCTCATCTGGGTTTGGGCTCAGCTGGCTTGAATTCACGATTGGACTAAGATAATTGCTTGTTAAAGTCTCAGAGAAAGTCTGGCCAGGTGTTGGTGTCGTGTTTGATTGCATCTGCTCTAATGTCCCCTTCTGAGACGGGCTGGAAGTCACTTTTCCTTCATAATGAGGACCTTGATGTGGTGTTGATCCTGTAAAAGCAGAAAGACTTGCGGTTGTTATGGATGTAGATGCCTGGTGTAGCTGCCTGGAACTTTCCGGAGATGGAGAAGAAGTTTGGATTGGCTCAGAAGTTGACAGCAGTGAAACAGTTGACTCTGGTTTCTGAAAGGCAGCCTGATGTAACTCCAGTAAGGCTGACGGTGAAGATCTTGCTGGACTTGTGTTGTTTCCCAGGAATCCCATGGGGGTAGAGTGTGAATCCAATTGGTAGCCATCTACAAGGGAACACATATTAGTTTAAGGACCAAATAAAAGAAGATTGCACATTTTAGAACAAAACACCACTGGTGTGAGAGGTCCAGGCAACAAAAGATTCTTGGACCTAGAAAAGTGCAACTGGTGTTTAACGCTCTCTCGTTTACTGAGGCAATGTGCATTCCCGTATCAGGCAGACGTGGCATGGGGATGATAACCGACAGGAAGCGTGAGAGTTCTGTGACCGTGTTTGTGTTTAAAAGCTAGCTTGTTTTGCAAATTTGCTATTGCAGCTTTAAATAATAGCCAAACAACCTTTTTGTTAGATAATTTCGGTAACACTTTAGTTTAGGGAACACAAACTAACCATTAATTAGCTGCCAATTAATACGCATATTAGTGGACTACTAAGTCTGAATTAGTCATTATTAAGCTATTATTAGGTGCTTATTACCAATGATGTAATGCTAACATTAACAGGCCATAAATTAAAAGTTTTATCATAATAAGCCATTCATAATGGTTTGCTAACTGAAAGTAAATGTTTTGTTGCTGATTAACGCACATACTAATTAGCTCAAATAAATATTTGGCTTTTAAAGAAGTAATTCAAGGGGAATAGTTATTCTGCATTCAAAACCAAAAATATTACGTTCAAGTATTATGTACATAAACACCAAACTCCACATGTTAATAGAGCCTAAACAACAATGAATTAATTACTTAAAGGCAAGAATACGCTCCCCATTCTAAAGTCAGAGCTAATTAGTATGTGCGTTAATCAACAACAAAACATTTACTTTCAGTTAACAAACCATTATGAATGGCTTGTTATGATAAAACTCTTAATTTATGACCTGTTAATGTTAGAATGACGGCATTAGTAATAAGCTGTTAATAAATGCTTAATAATGACTAGTTCAGATTTAGTAGTCCACTAATATGCATATTAATTGACAGCTAATTAATGGTTAATTTGTGTTCCCTAAACTAAAGTGTTACCATAATTTCTACAAGCTTTTAACTAAAATAACAAAAAATATATATACTTCATAACTGAATTCACTTCAATTTACAGAATATAATGTTTGAGTTAAGGAATAAAACCCAAAAATATTCCTGGAGAAAATGCAAATAGAAGCAATAATAAAATAATCATCTGACACTGAGATTTTTTTCCTTGTTTCTGACATGAATCATGGGAATATGCTGACATGTAGACACAGACCATGTGTCTAGCATTTGTCCAGAGAACTGCAGAGAAAGCATTATTCTGGAAGTGATGGATATGATTTCCATCTCATTAAGAACAAACCTACCTCTTACATACAACACTAAAACAACATTATAAGTAACAGAACAACAAAGGGAAATTAAGGTTATGAAACACTTTTCAAATTTAATTTAGGTACCAAAGGCTTTAATCTTTATATTGCATAACCTCACATAGCATACATGATTTAATTTGGGAAAAGCCTTGGCTTCACTGCAGAGACTCTGGCAGGTTTTTCAAAAAGCATCACGAGGGGAATTAATTATTTATAAACCATAGGATTAAATCAGACTAACAAAATCATTTTAAAATGCAGGTTAAAATGTTTTCAGGCTTTCACAAAAAAAGTTTTGATGTATTAATTTTGGAAATTGGCTGTTTTCCCCCTATTTTCATTTTAGGACTTGATCATTGTAGAGAAATGTGATGGATCCTAACAGTGTTTTCTCTCTGCGCAATATTTTAGCCAGTAAATGAGATATTTAGGAAGAATTCACAAACAATACAAAACATATCAGTTTGAGTGACAAAGAGCTAATAGTTGCAAGTCTGGCATACAGCTGATCTCTCAGATCTTGTTTGGACTTTTCCGTAAGTTTCACTGTTTCTCAAAGAGAGGATTCCCAGACAATATTCCCAATTTTCTCCAGTTACATTGCATTCTCGTGCAAGAGACACTTGTTCTATCCTCTAGCTGACATTCTCCTCATTTTTGAAGGCACGTTAGCGTAACATGCCATCACGATCAGGTACAAAAACTCTACTGAAAATGTGTTTTAAAGCAGCCAAAGAAAACAGAAATATCTTCAGAAAACTGATTAAAAAAATGATCAAGACCACTTTTAAAGGGGAACCAGGCTGTTCTGACTTGCTTTTAGTACCCCCTAGTGTCCGTTTTTAAGACCAAAAGAAAAACTTATCTCCTCACTTTGCATTTGTCTTTTTTATCACCTTAATCTAACATCTGAAATGTTTCCCCAGCCTTCCTTAGTGCCTACATTGTCATGAGCTGGGGTGAGTACTCCTCTCAACATTCCATCTTTGAGCTGTGTGTTGCAGGAGAGGGAGGTTCCCAGCTGCACCTGGTTTGCAATCAGCGGGCCCGGCTACATAAGGAGGACGGAGAACACACCTCGACACCGGATGATTACTACTGCTTGGTAGTTTCTAGCCTCCTAGTGATTCTTGGATTTTGTGCTCTCATGTTCTTGGACTTAGTGAACTTTGGATTTTTTTGTGATTACCCGTCTCCAGGTTTTTGGACGTCTCTGGTTTCAGAGACCCCTTCAGCATTACTCACCCATTCTCCATAGGACTTCTGGATGCAGCTCTGAACCGTTCTCCATTCCTCCTACCGACCCACTCTCCTGCTCTCCTCACGCTCCCTCTCCTGGACCCATCACCTGGATACACCCCAGCTCTCAACCTGCCCTCCCTCATTCCGGTGCTTCCCCATCTCCCAGTAAGTTTTTTTTTCTGCACCCACCAAGTTAAGACTTACCTCCCTGGACTCCCCTGTATCTGCTCTCCCCTCCTCAGACGCTGCACTCCCGTTTCTCGATCCCCACTGGACTTACCAGTGCACCTTCAGTTCCCATTTTAAAATAAATATTATTTTTTTACCATCCATTCGTGAGTTGTTGTGATTCTGCATGTCTTGGGTTAGACAGATTCCCCAGATCATGACATACATGAGTGATTCCTCACCAACAAATCAGCTGTGTTTATGATCTAAATCATGCAGGAAACGTGCTGGAAGCAAACTGCAGCGCCAGGTAGGACAGCTCCATTCTTCTGGACGGCCCGCCAGTCTGAAGTCGCAAGTGGAATATTATATATATATATATATATATATATATATATGGGCTGTGTGTAAGTATCCCTGAAACACTAAAGTCTGGCTCCTTTGGATTAAAATAAAACAAACTTTTGCACAGTGCTATCTATAAACAGCGTAACATGTTACCCATCATAAACAAACTGCTGAATAGAGTCGGTGCAAACCGCAGAGGCACTATGATCATTTCTGCAGGAAGTTTGCTTTGAACTGTTTCTATTTATTGAACCAGCAGAAGCTGCAAAGACCGTTTCTCTCTGTAGTTCAAAGACGCTCTGCAGAATCCTGCAGCCATGAAAAACTGAAACAGAATCATCTGAGGGAGAAAACTATTTTTAATACCAAGAAAACAGAACAAATCATTAACATGAGAGGATACCTCTGGAGCATCATCTTCTATTCGCTGCATAGAAGCAGACAGTGACTGGCATGGCCCTGGAAAACTCCCAACTTAATTGTAACCTACTGGTACCTTAATTAAGTCAGCATGCAACAACTACAGAACACTCTGGAAAGGAGTTGGGAAATATCCAGGCTTTTCTGTTCAAAGACTTGGAGCAGCAGCCAAGTGTTTGAACCCAGAGGGCTGGAGCACAGCCGAGCAGATGCGCGCGCACACACACACACGTATGATTGACCATTAGTGCAACAGAAGCCAAATAAGTGGAGGTGGCAACATGTGGTAACCTGCTTTATACACATTATAAGGTTTGGTGAAATTGAGGCTTTTTGTGAGATGGTATTTGATTTGCAACAGTTGTGTATCTGAGTAATTATTTCATTTCCATTTGTCAACTTTCCATCATACAAAGACAATTAAAATGTTCTCAGTATCAACATCTGATGATTTATTTGGTTGTAAAAGAATGGTTTTGAAGATAATATTTGACAGTTACAAGAGTTTTTAAGTTTGTAAGTTGTGATGTAAGAGTATTGTGAACTTATTTGACTAAATGGTGTATATTTCTCTTCTTCTTCTTTCTATTTTTTGCTTAAATTGTAGATTTATGTGTTAAAGGGGTAGATTAGTTTGTTTAATTGGTTAAAAAGGGCAGGCAGAAATATAAGCATTTTGCTTCGGCCTGAGCCTTTTCAGTCACTTTAAATGTAATGTAATGTTTTATTGATTATATTATTATTATTATGTTTTTTTGACTGAATAAATTAAAAAATTCAACATTTGATGATTTATTTGGTTGTAAAATTCATTTTTGACTGCTTCCACCAAACAGACAGCCATCCCTCTTTAGGAAAGCCACGATGATGGTTGAGGTCAAAAATTTGTACGTGACCCCAAAATGTCAACTCACTTCAACACCCCCCAACAATGACAAACTATTTTATCTGTTGTCACATTTAAGGCAAATAAACATGCATGGATGGAAGACTGAACGCATCTAGCTAATCGGTATAATTGCAATTATTGACAGGCGATGTGAAGAATAAAAGAACGATTTTGACAATGTTGTTTACAACAACTTTGTAGCATTGTATAGCTATGAAGATATTGTGGGGACTTTAAAAACAAACAAAAATTAATGATGTGGTTCTCTCGCATTAATCTCTGCCAAGAACAAAGATAGAACTGAATGCAATCACTGGACCATCCAGTTGTCAGTCATGCAAAACCGCCACACTTCCCTGGGTCCTCCATTTATAACGCACTCGCGTATTTAACAACAGAACACCAGTGACGTGAGAGGTTCTTCGCTCAACAATATCAGAGAAGGAAAAACAGCCGGCTGCTACCACTTCAACTTTAGGAAAAACTACCAGAGTCCCAAAACGAATAACACCAATTCAAGTCGTGGTCATCAAAAGATGTTTGGGCCTAGAAAACAGCGACCGGTGTTTAGCACTATGTTGTTTCCTCTTGAAATGTGGGTGTCCGGTTCCGGCAGAAGCATCTT